GTTGTTTGATCCTTAAAACACAGAAATTTCTTTTTTGATACAGTTGAAGTTGATCCTGATGATGAAGTATGGCGAGAAATACCCATCACATTTTTAATTTTTATATTTTCTACTTTTTCTAAATGATAAAGTAATGCTGTTGTTGATTGTTTTGCTTTAAAAGTTGACAGACAATATTTACATCTAACAATATTTTTGTCTTTTGTTAAATTTAAAAAATGTTTCCAAATTTCAGACATCTTTTTTTTTGAAGGTTCCACTCATTCACTTTCCATTTTTTTCAAAAACCTCGGAATTAGGAAAAATGAGGTCAGCAAATTATTGCCTTCTTAAACTGTTAGAGGTCGGCTTAAGGTCTGCAAAAAAACTGATACAAAGGGGTTACCATAAAACATAGAAACGATGTCGGCAATTTTTTGCCGACCTTAAACACTTTAATGTCGGCAGTTAGGTCGGCATTGCCAACCCAAATTCCCTAATATATATATATATATATATATATATATATATATATATATATATATATATATATATATATATATATATATATATATATATATATACATATATATATATATATATATATATATATATATATATATCAAGCCTTCCCAGGAAAGGCGTGCGGTTTTTTGTTTCGTATGACCGCACGCGATTAGATTACTTTAGAAAACGTGAACACGGCCGTTTGCAAGTTTTATAATAACGCTGAAAAAGTTTCAAAAATAAAAAAAGCAAAACTAACAAAATAAAAAGAGATTGAAATAGAAAAAAATAAAAACTAATTAATAATTTAAATAATTTGTGAACTGTTTTTACTTTTGTTTCTTTAGAGTTACATTCAGCAACAAAATTAGATAAGGCGAAGCAAAAAAAAAAACAATTTGAAGTCTACAACAAAAAGAATGATTTTCCTTTTCTTAATTTTTTTTTTAAGAGGATAGTAAAAATAAAAATTGCAATGTGTTTGTAAAATTTATTTTTATAATTTTAATGTAGCAACAAGGATTGAATTAAGCGAATGTAAAACGCAAAATCTGGAAAAATATCTAGCATTAAAAATTTTAGTTTATAAGGGGAGAATTAACTTAAATTTGTTAGCGAAAAAATAAAAAATAAAACAATAAACTTACGATTACAAAAGTAAGAACATTCTAGTCACTAACTGCATTACAAAAGTAATAACACTGTAATAGTGTTTTTACTTTTATAACGCACTTATAACTTTTAAAATCCATTCTTTGTTCAAGCAACATTAGTATTCCCAAATTTTAATTGAAGTAGAAAAATATCTAGAAGAATAAAGTGGATGTTCAAATAATATTAAAACTAAAGTAACTTATAAAATCGTGACAGACAACTTTATGAAAACGTGTCGTATTAAAAGTTTAGCATTATGACAAACGTTACTAATAGACCGTAAAAACCAATAAAAATTTTTTATTGGTTGATTTTAAAATTAACGCCTGTTTGCGTAACATTTTTAATAATGCTATACTTTTTATATAGTACTTTTTTATAACGTTGTTTAAGTGATCTGTGAAAGTTCCTGAAATTTTTAATAATATTTGAATATCCGCTTTTTTTCTAGATGCTTTTCTACTTTTAATAAATGTTTGGAATTAATAATGTTGTTTGAACAAAGAATGAACTTTAAAAGTAATAAGTGCTTTATAAATGTAATAACACTATTATAGTTTTATTACTTTTATAATGCAGTTAGTGACTAAAGTGTTATTACTTTTGTAGTCGTAAGTTTATTGTTTTTGTTTTGTTTTTTGTAACTTTGTCGCTAGCAAACTTTTAATAATTTGCTCCTTATAAACAAAGTACACAGCTTTGCATGAACTAAAATTTTAAAGACCTAATATTTTACCAGAGTTTGCAAACGCAATCGTATAATGTAACTCTTGATATAAACTTGTTAAATTATAATTATACAAATATATTTTACAAACAGATGACGATACATATTTTCTCTTTTCTCTTTAAAAGAAAAAACACATAAAATATGGGAAAGTCATACTTTTTAACGCCTAAAACCGTTTTTTTTTTTTTGCTTTGACTTAATGAATTTTGTTGCCGATAATAATAACCACTAAGAAAAAACAAAAATAAAAACAACAAACAAATTATTTAAACTATTATTATTGTTTTTTATTTAAGTTTACTTTAATTTCTTATGCAGTTATTAAATTTAAAACAATTTTTCAGTAACGCATATAATATAACTTAAACGGACGCAAACGGACAATATATATATATATATATATATATATATATATATATATATATATATATATATATATATATATATATATATATATATATATATATATATAAAAGAAAAAATAATCAAAGTTTATTTGATTCAAACTAAATTAATAATTAATAAATAAAGATACTAGTGCTTTAAAAAATTAAAAAATTGATCACATGCTTTGCTAAAAAGAAAAAATTGAAATTAAAGAATAAGTTTAAAATAATGTCTCAGTTAGGAACGCGTTTCTCAAAAAGAAATGCATTTCTGACTGACACATTGAAAAAGAAACGCATTTCTGACTGTTGACTTCTGATTGGTTGGTTAAAAATCTAATAATGATGGGTTTAACACATTTTTGACAATCATTAGAGAATCTAGTCTTCCATCAATACCAATAAATATAACAAATTTTTTAATTTATTAAAGTAACATAGTTTGCAAGCGTAGATAAATCAGTACAACAAATAACATAATTTAGAAAGAAGCTTTGAAAACTCATGAACTTACATGATTTTTTGAAATTCTAAATTTTTACTGCTCCAGCTTTGGATAAAAAAAAAGGTTTAAAGTTAAAAAAGTAATCTTCATCAATTCATTTTTTTTTTAATGAAATTTCTTATCTTTTTAGGTGTACTAGCTTTAATGATTCTTATACAAAGTTCGTTAAAAACATTATTGTATGCAAAAAAAGTTGCAATTTAAAATCTAAATAAACTTATTTTTAAAAAAAAATTTGTTTATTATAAAAAATGCATACTTATATAACAAATTATATAACATGAATAAAAAAAATTATATACAACTTTCATTAATACTTGAAACTAAATCATTAGTAACTTGTTATTTTATTCAAAAGTGTTTCACTAATATAAAAAACATTATTTATTATAACGCATAATTAAAAATCTTTTTTATTAAACACGCTTTTGATGTAAAACGCCACGTTTTACATATCAAAAGCGCGTTTAATAAAAAAGATTTTTAATTATGCGTTATAATCAATTTGATTATAACGATCAATTTGTCAAAACAAAGTTGTATTTGTAGGTTCATAAAAAAACATGCGATTGCACACCTTTATATGACCAAGACTTCTGCTACCAACAATAAATACTTAAAGCCCACAAGAAACAACTCTGTAAGCATTATTTGGATTCTTTGAAGTAAATAAGGCATAGGGTTAGCTTAATTTTGCTTTTATGTTGTAGGAGTGACCTTAATAGGATCAACCTTTGACAGCATTCTAGCAAAATTAATTTTCTTCATTTTTAAACAAGCTTTTTAAATAAAGCTTATGTAAAAATAATAATAGTTTGATTTTATTATTTCAGATTTTTTAGATTTTATTAAAAAAATAAAAAATTATTTTTTTAATAGTATTATTTATTCTATCAATGATTTAACTGATTAAAAAATGAATTTGCATGGGTTATGATATAATTTTTCAAAGAACTTTGAAAAATTATAGTTTTATAAATAATATCAAGTGTACAAAAAATACTTTCTAGCGTTAATCTTCCACTAATAATATTCAACGAATACCAAACTTTAATGATTTAAAACAAACTAGTTAAAATGGTTGTTACAGATTTTGTAGCAGATGTGATCATATACTGACAAATGCAATTAACTTTGTTAATGCAGTTAGAGATTTTTAAATAATTAATTATCAAAATTCAGTTTCTTCTATTAGTATATATAGTTACACTGAGAGCATGTCAAATGGTATATTAATAGATAGCCAACACTTGTTTTGAATCAACAGATCTGTAAAATGCGTGTGTTATAAAGTCTAATATCCGCAAAATATTAGAGCAATTTTTAACAAAAAAAGCCCATTCTTCTTAAACATTTATCATTGAAATTTAGATAAAAAAATTGTTTTTTAATCATTGTTCATCTGAAAACATGTGTTTTTACCTGGCTGTTTATTTTTAAAATTAACATTATGTTAAAGATTACCTTAAATAATCAAATTAGATTTACTAAAAAAGTTTTAAACTCACAAAAGGTTTATTAACATTTTGTTAATATTTTTCTATTAATTAAAATGAGGTAGTGGTGTAGTGGTAGAGCGCTCGTTTCATAAGCAAGAGTTTTCAAGTTTGATTCCCACCACATCCCTGGTAGTACCACGCTCAACTTGTTTCTCTGCGCAGCGGCCTTGTTTGACAAGGTTTGTGTTTAAGAGTGATAAAGTTGAGAGAGAGTTATAACCACAATTAATTAGCCTTCTCATCTGTAGTGGCCTTCTCGGCCTTGGAGAGGAGAATTAACAAAAAACAAAAACAAAAAAAACAATCCTGAGTTCTCCTACAGTTACAGTTACGCCTACTGTTAAATATCATTTAAGTAGAATTGATTAAAACTTAAAAATCTTTTTAAAATTGTGCTAATTAGTTAAATACAATTTATTCAAGTAAAATCACTACCCCTTACCATTAAAAAGTTTAACTGAATTGAATTAAAATATTGTGATATAAAATCAAAATAATTAATAACATTTGAGTATCTATATGCTTTGGTTATTAAAAAAAATCCAGGCAAAATGTTATGGATTTTAATTATTTCTACAGATACATGTTGTTCCTATGTAGAATTTAATTACTGACTTGTAAGAATAATAAACATTTTATTAACATTTCCAAATAATATAAAATAGTCAAAGCAGTTAAAAATTTTTTTAATTACTTCAATATAAAAAAATAAAATTCTATATTAAAAAAATTTCACTTACCATCCTATGTCAAATCTGGTTCCTTGGTTACTCAAATTGTAATGCAAAGCTAAAATAAAAAACATATACAATAAAATCACCTGAGTTTGGTCACTTAAGCTTTAAACGTTCATATCTCAAGCATAAATAAACATTTTTTTTTTTCTTCTCTGAATTATGCAGAGAAGAAAAAAAAAAATTTTTACAATATAAGTTAACTATATCGTTAACTTATATTGTAAAAATAAAATAACAAAAATTAAATTACATTTTGTATGATAACAACAAAAACAACAAGATATTTATTCTCCTTTTTAAATCATACAATAATGTTATAATAATAATAAATAAAATAATAATAATTAAAAAAAAAAAATCAAAATTCTTTTAATTGTAGTAAGTAAAAATAATTGATGAAAAAAAAAAAAAAATATATATATATATATATACATATATATTAGGGATGTACTGAAGCTGAAATTTTGCCGAAGCCGAAGCTTCGGCCGAAGCCACTTTGCCGAAGCCGAAGCTTCGGCACTATATATGCTTAAAATTTAATCAGCATTCAGATCAGCAGGGGTGTAAAACAAAAAAGGTACCAAAACTAAGGTCCTTGACTAATAATATAGAAAAATTGTATAAAAATAAGGACGCCAGTCAGGGTTGCTGTTCCAGGCAGGGCAAAAGCTCTCAGCGCCCCTGTTTAAAAGTTTCTCATTATGTCGTTTGTGATAATTGACCGCATCGAGCGTTTTTTTTTTTAACTTAAGCTTTTTTGAAACATTCTCCCTAAATTTTCCTACTTCTAGTTCTACTTTTTCTGTGTGCAAACCATATTAATGTTATATAGCATCTTTTCATGTGCTGTATATTTTATTTTTATTTTTAATGCACCTTTTGTTAATAGAAGTGGATAAAAATCTCTGAACATTACTAGAGTAAATTTATCTTTTGCACTTGATCACTCTTTCTTTAAATAAACACTCTTAGCTGATCTAGTTGTATCTACAACATAAAAAATCTTAGAAACACACTTTATCTTTTTATTGCTATTTATTTCAATATCTTTTTTTTACTTCTCTGTATTCTTTAAACGAACAATTTCTAAACTAAAAAAAACCCAAGTTAAGACCATTTTGGATTCCACTACAACTGTTGTGAACCTGCTGCTAAAAAAAGTACAAATGATAAATTTCTCTCTAACTTCTTTTTTACACACTTTTAAGTATTTTTTTTTTTTTTGATTATTTTTAACTTAACACTACATAACATTTTCTATAGCTTTTTTTAATCTTTTATACTTTGAAATCTTAGTATTCATTCTTCTTCTGTCTCTATAATGGATAAATCTGCATCAGTATCTGAAATCAAATATTAACTATCTGTGATAAAAACTTCCAAAGTAATCTAACAACTCTGTAGAGTGAGCTTTAAATAAAATAATAAATAGAATACTTTATAAATTTTTTATTTATAATTATATTATTATTTACTTTATATTTATAAATAAACAGGGACCGAGCAGGCTGATATTTATTTGATTTAAATTGTTTATTTAATTTAAATAAATTTTGATGATAAATATAAGAGCTCAAAGTTATCAAAGCTTCAACCTTTAATTTATTTTAAATAAAATTTAAAAGTCTTCATAATATCATAAGAAGAAACCAGAATATTGGTTTACATGTTTAATATATAAATTCAATTTAGAAGTAATTCATAATATTAATAAAAGAGCAAGGATAGTTATTATCATTGTTTTTTTTTTCTTTTAATTTATCTAGTTTTTGTTGGCTTTTTTTTTCTTTTTTTATTCTCCTTGTTTATATTTCATTTGCTTTTCTTCCTTTTTTGTTGTTGAAAACTTTTTGTTTTTTATGTGTCACTCCATTGACACATAAATTTGTTTTTTATGTGTCACTCCATTTGTTTTTTATGTGTCACTCCAAGTGACACCTAACCAATTTCTGTAAATTTACGATGAAAATTTGTAAATTTTTATTAATATGGTTAAATAAAATTTTAAAAAATTAAACATACACACAATTTAAAATAGTAGCAACGTATCTTTAATCTTCTTTAAAGAGAGATTACTAAGGTTTATCGGTTAAATGTTGAAACCAAATTTTGTTCTATTTGCGGTAATCCCACACAATAATTAATATGAATTCGTTACATAATACAAATTAAGGTTTTAAAAACTTTTAATTTGTTTTAAATTCTGCATAGAAATGCTGCTTCAGTTCATCTAAAGTCACACTTGGAAGCTTTCAAAGTGTATGAGAACCTTCCCTAATTTTATTATTTTTTTCAAAATATTTTTACTTATTTATTATTATCCCCTCCATAATAAGACACTTGGGAGTAAATAATACTAAGTATATGGTATAGACTCCAACTTTAACTCTGTAGTCCTAAATTTATAACTTTATTAGACACTGGCAATTAGCTTATTTTTATAACTTGTCCCACAGTAGCTTATAACTTTAATTACTTAAATTTTTTTGCCAAACCCAAAGATTTGGCGAAAAATTGACCTGGCTTATTTTATATTATTATTATACAATAATAATAATAATATAAAATAATATAATAAAAATAATATAATAATGAGTAAATTATTTAAAAGTATTCAATAATAATTATTAAATAATTGATAAGGATGGTGTCACTCAAACAGAATTCTGATTAAAGGAGTGACACCAGTTTTTAAATATAATATGATTAATAATAAGCATACTTACATAGAACATAATAAAACGAAGAAAACATTTAAAAATCATACTTTGATGATAATAATAAAAAATAATCAAACAAGAAGTTAATGATAATAGTTTTAGTAACCATAATTAAAAAAATATTTACATTTTTGTATTAGAGTATATTTTAAATATTAGGTGAAAATTGTGTCAATAAGTATAACAAATTTGTTCTCAGAATTTTTTCAATTGATTTTGCTTAAGATTAAGAAAAGATGATAAAGGTGTTTGAATTTGTAGTTTTTTCAACTCATTCACTATTAAAGGAAGTCAGTTTTTTAATTCGAATTACCTGTCCCCTCAGATAGTTAAAGATTTTTAGACTAGTAAAAAACTAATTAAAAATTTTTAACAAAGTTAAATCAATTTTTTCCGCATTAAGGTTTACAAGTACATATTTTTTACGACATTCTCAATTCAAAAGAAAATAGCAAATGCAAGAAAAATTTGTTTAAAAAATATTGTAAATAAGCAAGCAGATAAACATAAATAAGTTGCTATGCCTTAAAACTTGTGATAAAATGGGTACAACAACGTGACAAACTACTAAAAAAGTCATTTAAGGTTCAAAAAGTGATTTTCCTGCTAGTGTTTTATCAACATATGGAGACAATTATAGATACTTTTATTTTGTACAATCCAATTTTAAAAACAAATCTGACATAGTTGATAAAACTCAAAAAGAAATTGTAAACATTTGGCTAAATGTAAACCCAAAATTGCCTTTGATAAAAAATGAGTCAATTTATTTAAAACTTGTCAAAACATATAACACAATGAAACTTATTAATGGAAAAAAGTGCAAAAAAGGACCTCAAACTGCTGCATATAGTGTAATGGAAACTTATATGATATATTTGCCTGCAGATGTAATTTAGATGAAGTTCCCTGCTAAGAAGAAATAGTTATAGAGTGAAATTCCAAAATTTAATCTGCAGAAAAAAACATTTTGTATGTGTTTGTTCCCCAGACCAAGATTAGTTGATAAATTAACTTTTTCTAAAGTTTCTCTACATACTATGTACTACATAGAATCTGTCAACTTTCTTCTTGGAATAGTTATATAAGAGTATCTCTGCAAGTTTCCTTTTGCTAAATTTATGATATTTTGTTTCAATTTATTCAGATTCCACTTGAGGAAAGAGAATACATCAAAGACCAAAGATCAAGAGTAATTAAAAATTGAAACGCTGCAGTTACTTTTTCTGATATTGGCAAATCATCTGCAAAATAAATTTATATTTTTTGATTAAAAGTATTATTAAGTAGCATTATTTTGAAGTAACTAATTATTTAAAAGGTATAAGTTTTAATAAAAATTAAAAGTTTTAATAAAAATTAAAAGTTTTAATAAAAATTAAAAATAAAAATTCTTGGAAATGTTAAAAAATCTCGGCATCATTACTAAAACTGATGTTTTGGATAAAACTGATGTTTTGGATAAAACTGATGTTTTGGATAAAACTGATGTTTTGGATAAAACTGATGTTTTGGATAAAACTGATGTTTTGGATAAAACTGATGTTTTGGATAAAACTGATGTTTTGGATAAAACTGATGTTTTGGATAAAACTGATGTTTTGGATAAAACTGATGTTTTGGATAAAACTGATGTTTTAGATAAAAGCAAAATGGATAGAACTAAAAAGAGGGTTTGCCTGCAGTCTGTTGCTAAACATGATACTGTAGTCCAAAATTTAACTTAAATTTGTTGCAATAGTAAAGACAATAAAGGTAGTTTAGTTTATCGCAGTATATCATCTCATAATCTAAGCAAAAAAAAAATCAACTGAAAAGATTCATCAGCTAAGTTTTACAGCAGAATCAGGAGTAATGAAAGGAAAATATCTTACACACAGAGACATTTTAAATGGAACAGGAGACAGTTTAGCACTGTCTGCTTATGAAGTGTTAACACATTACAACAGTGTTGAGTCTTTGTTAAGAAATGTTTTCAATAATAAAAATGTCAACACTGGCTATAAATCTGGACTTTGTGCCAGTCTTGAATGAAAACTTGGCAGAAGAATTCATAAAATTGGTTGTGCATTGCACAGCGATGAGTTACCTTTGTGCTATATTATAGAACATCTCGATGGCAGGATAAACACTCCAACAACATTTTATGGTGAAATAGGAAAAGCTGCTGCACAAGATCATTATAATAAATTAATAGCCATTTTGAACCTGCTTTGGTTTGTTTAGTTGTTCTAGAGCAGAGTGTGATCAATGACTTTTGATCAAAGTTCTAATCAAAGGTTATTGCTCCAATATGTGTGTGGTATAAGTTCAGGTAAGCAAAGTTTAAATAAATATAAAAGTCAATCTGTAGATTCATACTTACTCTTATTTTTTACTCTTATTTTAATTTATTGTCAAAAGGAAAAAATGCTGCTATAAAATATAAAATAATAAAAAAGGTGCTATAAAAAAGGTGCTATAAATCCAATGTAAGCTAATTATAAAGTTGGTCCGGTTAATTATGCTAGGTGGCTGACATTAGTAATACAAATTTTAGTTTTGTACTCAAGAAGAGAACAACCTACTCGAGTTCTTAAAAAAACTGTAAAGTACATACAAACAGGGCATGGTTCTACTTAGTTTGAAATTAAGAAATCTAAAAATTTTAATGAAGGCCCAAGAATTTTACACACAACATTATAAAGAAAAAAAACTTTTAACCAACCTATGCAAGACATTATACTACCTGTTGTTATAAGATATGCTTATTGCCTTCTCTCAGAAAACTTTCTTTTATCCCTCCTTGTAGATTATTTGGAAAATGAATGACCTAGAGCAGTTAGCCTGATATCAAAATGTCGAGACAATCCAAGCTTCCCCAGTTGATAAAATTTATGGTGGCATTAGAGTTAACAAAATTTCTAACATTTGAAAATTTGAATATTGAGTGAGATACAAGGAAAGAGCTAGATTATCAACTAATCTATGAGCTTCCTGCTACTAAAAGCTTTATCTCGTCAGTAACTTCATAATATGATTGAATGCAAACCAGATCTTAGTTTGCTTGGCTGGGACTTTACATTACACAGTCAGTCTGTAGAGCGTGCTGTAAAGCTTGTTTCTGAAGTTTCAAAAAAGCTTATTCTTTACAGATTAGGCATGGCTTAGCATTAGGAAAACAAAAAAGTTGAATAACAAGAAAATAGTTTAATTTTAAAAAAGATTATGATGCATAAACATTTATTGCTTTAAATTTCTCCACATCCCATATTTTATAATGCATATTATTATAACAAATTTTAATACTAATAATTAAAAAGCACACATTTGTAATAATAAGTTTTATTAGACGGAAACTAAAAATAAATTGTTGTAAAATTTTATTATTTCGTTTGCTAATATTTGACACTATTGTTGGATCATATCTAGGAGGAATCTAAGGCAGATCTGGGCTGCAGGACCTTTGTACCCATGGAGCTGAAAGTTTTTTGATAATTAAAAAATTTTCTTAGCCTTAAACTCTAGATCGGAATTTAAGGTTATATAATTGAGTTAATTTAGGTGAAAAATTGAGTGCACTGTTTGTTTCATTTTTATAATATTAAATTTAAAAGAAAAATGAGAAAAGAGTAATGGTTTTAGTTGAGCTATCAATCTAACTTTGTTCATATAATCTTCAAGATTTTATGTATAACTTTTGGGGATCAAATTCTGCTTCCCTTCTTCTTCTACCATTAAATGCTGCTGTAATGTATTAAATAGCAATTAATATAGTATATTTAGCATATTAAAATGTTTTATAATTAAAAAAACTACATTTGAATTAACAAGTAAAACCGCAGTTTTTTTATTTTGAGGAAAAATATTGACGTCTTACATTATGTATGTTATGTAGTTTCTAAATGTAACTTTAGTGATAATTGTAAATATTTGTTAGTGATTTGCTTGTCGTAATGTGACAAAAACGTTCCTATTTTAAAGGAGGAATAAGCTCAAAAGAAATCTAGTTCCTGTTAAAAAAACTGTAAAGTTATAAAATCACTCTTTTCTCTATTGTTACATAAATTTTTATTTAATCTGATGCTTTTACTGAATTTTTCTAATTGCTTCCGAAAAATTTGAATTAAGTATAAAAAAAAAGGATGATGGGTCCAATTTTTTGACAGGATTTTTAACTATCTGATTTATGAGATTATGCCTTCTTTTTTTGTCTTGCTTGAGCCACACCACACATCCATCTGATTGTCTTTTCTTTTGGCAAATACTATTCCATATAAATATTAATGTTTATATAACAATAAAAGGATATTGTATTCTTGCATCTAAATAAATAGTAAACAGATATATTTATATCCATAATATATATGCATAAAGTGCATCTTGGAAGCTTTTAACCTTTCTGGGATGACTGTTTGGAAGCTTTTATTACTTCTCCTCTTCAACTTTAAGTCAAGCCTCATTCTACTCAACCATTTTTCACCATCTTGAGCAGTTGCTTATTAAATATTAACAATTTTTTCATCTTTTTTTACAAGAACATCTCTCTTAAGAACAAATGTCCTTTCATTATTGCAAAAAGCTAATGTAAAAAAGTCCTGTCTGATGTTAAGCTCTGTTATTCTCAATTTACTAAATCTTATCTCAGATGTTTGGTCCCAGAGACTTTTGGTTAGTCTTCAACATTGTCATTAACTAAAGTAAGTCTAACATTTAATCTCTAGTTCATGTGATCTTTTTACTTCTCCCTATAATAAAGCAGAGTTATTTGCAAAGATCTTACCCTTATTTGACTCTTAAATATAATGGCCATACTCATCCTCACAGTTAACCAGATTAACCCATTGTTATCCAAATCACTCTGGCTTCCAATGCTAAAGTTAATTCTTAATTGAACACTTCTAGTCCAAAAAGAGTTCTCCAGAACTTTCTTCAACTATTGCTAAACTTTTATAAAGTATTAAATAAGTGGTTCCAATTTTTCAAAACTCTAGAAAACACTTTGCTCTTTCCAACTATCCTACAATTAGCTTTTATTAGTTTCTTCATATAAAGATTTTGAGGTTATTAAATGATTTTTTTCTAAATGCAGTAGTAAAGTTATTTTTTAAGGCCTAACATCTTCTTTATTCTAAATAACTCTAAGGGTACCACAAGGTTCTACCTTTGCTCCTGTATTGTTTCTACAATAACGTTATCTACAATAATGATCTTCATGAAATCTAAAGTGGCTCTATTTCCTGACGACTCAACGTAATACTCTTCTCTTGACAAAAAGTCTTCACTTTTTTCTGTAACAGCCTAAGGCTTGTAGTGGCTTGTGGATTTTAAGTCTGGATTTAAAATCTAAAACTTTTGTTAGACAATAAAACTCATTTATTTAGTGCAAAAACTTTTATTAATCCGGTTTTTATCCTTGCACATCAAAAAACCTTATAACTATTACCCATCTTCATGTTTTTCATTTATATACAACCTACAACTTTTCCAGTCTTTAGTTTTTTCTATTTTTTAACCGTTTTCTAGTATTTTTACTTATTTTCTTATTATTTTATTTAAAAGTAACTCATAACTTAATAGTGGTTGCTTGCAATCTTGTTAGAAGTGAATTAGAGTTTGAAAATATATAAATTCATGTCAGTATTTATTAAATAATAAATATAAGCATAAAACTATAATATATAAAGTATTATAAATATTTTTCTAACCCTGGCTATCAACCCCTGCTAAATCTTATAGTTTACCGAGGCCGGGTTTGAAAAAAGTCTTACTTTTAGCCGGGGCAGGGGCCCTGGTCATTTACTATAAACGTATATACATTTAATTGTGTCAATCCTTATTTGTCACTCAATATATTTAAATTTATTTACCTTAATCCCTATTTGTTAGGTGGTATATGTACATTTAATTATGCCAGTACCTATTTTTCAGTCAATGAAAGTATATCTATAAATGTGCATTAATTAAATTTAAATAAATTTTAATTTTGACAACAATAAAAACCAGGATGCCTAATTAAAAAAAGAAATTTCTAAGTTATTGATTTCTAAATGAAAACAGTATTTCAATGTTTTTAAAAAAGGTGGTGAATATTAGCATTTTTAATGTAACTTTTTAAACTTTACCATCAAATTAGAATCTCATGAATCCTCAAGCTTTTAGACATGTTTTTATATGATTCCTAATCAGTGTAATGAATTTTATCATAATCAAACATAAAACAGGGGAAGAATACAGTCAAATAATTGAATGGGTAAAGTCAAAATAATTGAGGGATGGGTAAAGTCAAAATAATTGAATCAGTTGTTAAAGGAAAATGACATCCTACTTTAAAAGAACGTATCCAAGTAAATAATGAAGGTCTTTTAAAAATAGCAGTATCAAAAAATACATATGTTAAAAAAAGATATTGTGTCTCTGGAGCCATTCTGTACAATAAAGAATACAAAAAAAAAATAAAAAAACAACAAAAATACAAAAAAATATAAAACAACTAAAATACAAAAAAAAAAAAAAAAATTTAAATTTCGAGCACCGGAAGAAAGATCGGATACTGAAGTCAAATAAAATAAATTACAAAGAAGCGCAAAAAGAAAAAACTAAAAAGAACCAGATAATAGAACATTCTGCAAAGGCATAGTGTCTAGCTGTCATCGAAAGAAAATAAAAATTTACAAACAAATACAAACAAAACAGCACCCAATATTTTTTATGTACCAAAGATCCACTGTTAATAAGAAACTAACCCAATCAAGATGCAATAAAATGATCCTATACAAAATATTTTCTCTGCAGCCAAAAAAGATGACAAAAAAATTATCCAAAAAATGTCAGAACAAAAGTCTGGATTTTTTCCATAATTACCTTTTATTTGCTTTTAAAAAACCTCAAGTTTTCAAGTTTTTTATTATTTATATTTCTAAGTTTGAAAATTTTAAAACTAGTTTCAACTAACAATTTGATAAAAATTCTCTTAAAAATGGAACTTTTATCAAATTGATTTTTTTGATTCAGTATTGCGCTGAAACGTTATTGAAATCTGTCTTATATATTAGAAAAAAAACTGAAGGTATTCAAGCAAACCTTTTTCTTATGCCCTTGATGTAAAATAGAATTTATAAAGTAAATAAGAGGCATAATATTTTTGCATAAAAATATACGTGCTTGTATAGTAAATACATACCGGCAAGGATTATAAGAAACACTCCAACAGAGTAAACTATTCCATAGTGTACCATATAACCAACCGCCATTTTTTATTATAAAATCGGTTGAAAATCGACTCAAAGTTTTATGAACCGTAAAACTTGTAAATTGGTGTCATTAAGAACAACTGTTTTTTAAAACCCGTATTAACTAAACCGTAAATCTATTAAATAGGTGTCTGTGATAGAACCATTTTTTTAAAGAATATTATTCTGAAATAGCACTGAAAATATATCTAATATTAGTGCTAGAATAACAACTAAAAAATTATTTAAAATTTTTATAAAGACTAAAGTAAAACCCAATTTAAAATTAAAATAAATCTTTATTTATTTTAAAATAACTGTGAGGGTTGAATGACTTCTGAGATATGACTTTACCTTTTGAGTTAAAATGCTTAATCTTTTTTTTTTTTTTTTTTTTTAACTCTTGACGTACTCGATATTTTTTTTTTTTTTTTTTTTTCTTTCTTCCTTCTCTTTTTTTTTTTTTTTTTTTAATTTTGTTTTTTATTTTGAACAATTTGATAGTTGATTGTTTAAAAAATCGATTTAACTAACAACATGCAGAGTTTTTTTTTTGTTTTTTTTTTGTGCTAGTTATAACATACTTCGAAAGTTTTCAAACGGAGAATACTTCAAATTTTCTTAAAATTATTTATTTGATGAAGTTAATAATTCAAGGGAAGTGCTATTAAAATTAATGGTTGTTCTAGTTGTCAAATTTGATGCAGTAAGCCTAAGTCAAGAGTCAAGCAAAGAAAATAATACAGTTTCTACATGTTCAAATTTGAATCAAAGATCATTTTTTGAAATCTATTTATCTTATTTACATTCATAACTTTTATTTCCCTTGTTAATGGTTTTGCAGGTTCAAATCTATTTATTTGGTATATAATTCTGCGGGCATATTTTTACACACTAATATTAGGGGTGCACCGATGCATTGGCATCGGCCTGGGGATGCATCGACCATTTCGCCGATGCATCGATAACCATCGGCCGATGCCGATTGTTTTAAAAATATATATATTATTTTTAGTGTTTCTATTTTACACCCAAACATAGAATTACGCCATAAACATAAATGCAATGTATGAGCCTAACTTAATAACAATAAGTTATTATATAGGCATATATGCAACCACTAAACTAAAAATTTTTGAACTGTTTTTAACAGGGCTCCCTACTTTTTTAGTCTTTTCTTAATTTAGTACATTAATTATATAATTTATGAATACGAAACTCTACAAAGAAGTTTATAATCAAGAAATGCACAATTAAAAAATATAAACATAAAGTATAACATATTTAAAATATAATAGAACAAATTTTATCAAGTTAAAAATAAATATAAGTTTTTATAATGTTATGAAAAGTAATAAAATATGCTATATAAAACTGTGAATCTCTTTTTCTGTTTCCATTTCTCCAAAAAAATTCCAATTTGCATCACAAAAGCTAGATGTTCTCCATGTTGTGCAGTTAGTTGGGACCGTGTCGATTCATATATATTTCCCCCAGTATAAAAAGAAGTATAGCACAGAAGTAACATTGCTTTAAACAAAGTTTTTTTTTTAACTCTTCCTGTTATTCTTTAAAATTAAAATGTTTCACTACATTTATATTCAAATTAAATAATAAAAAAGTTTATTATTAAATTAAAAGCGTTTAATAAATTAAACATTTAATATAAGTATTGTTTTATAATTTATTTTCGTAAAATCATTTGTAAAAACTTGCCAATTATTAGAAGTAACGACATCAAAATCTTTTGTTCATTCTTTACAAAAAACGAAATCGTTCTTATTCGAACAAACTGAGGAAAGTAAATATTTATAAAACGAGCTTTTTAATTGAAGTAATTGCTCTGATTATCAAGAAAACAATAAACAAATGGAAAATAAACTTTAACAGTAACAATTTCAAAATGTTGTTTTCATTGTCACATGAATGGAATGTGGCATTTTCATTCAAATGTATATTTCCTTCGTAAATCAAATTTCAGGGCCGATGCTGATGCATCGGTATCGACCTGTACCCTTCGGCATCGGCATCGGACATCATTGTACCCATCGGCATCGGCCTGTACCCATCGGCATCGGCATCGGACGGTGTACCCCTACTAAATATCTCTTGAAGTTTAGCAGGTTGTGTACCCGCACAATATTATCTTAATAAATGTAGCTATGAATCAGGCTGAACTAAATTAATTTAAAGTTGATAGTATTTTATGCTAATTGTTTTGTTTTTATATTGGTTCGACGAATTTTATGTGGGGGCCAAGTTAAGTTTTTATCTACATTAACTCTTAGGTACTTTGAAAGTTCTTGTTTTTTAATCTGGTTTTCATTCATAAAGAGAAGTGTTAATTTAAGTGGCAGGTTTTTTTCTATCATTTTTTATATATTTTTATAAAATATAAGTTCTGAACCATTTATTTTCTTTCATCAGTTCAGTATTCATACCTCTATATAGCTGATATCATTATTAAACATAAATAAACTAGTATTATCAGTATACATAGATGAATTTAATTTTGCAGAAACATTACAGAATTCATTTATATAAATTAGAAATAGAAAAGAGTCAAGAATCATAATCCGGTGTGTTGTTGACATAGTGTTTCTGGTCAGTAAGGTAACGGTTAAGCCAACATAATCTATTTTTGTTACACCATAATAATTTATTTTTTCTAAAAGTATCTATAAATATTCCTAGTGTAGTTTTTTTTTTGTTTTGCATCGGTTGGTTAGTAAGTCAACTAATTTAATAATTGCATACTCCTTTAAAGTATTTTTCTGAAGACCAAACTATTTAGGGTATATGGATATAAATTCTGTTATATATAACTCGTATATATATAACTGGATAAAAATGGATACAAGTTCTGTTATATATAACTTGTTAAAATATATTTGAGAAAACTGATAAACCCGGAGATTTATTCATTTTTTTAGTGTATTAATTTGATTTGTGTAAGCCTTAAATTTTTCATTCATATTAGCATATGAATGAAAAATCTAAGGCTTACACAAATCAAAACAGGAGATGATGAAAATATATTGCTACATAATTTTGGATGCAATAAAAATAATTAGGCTTTAGATAATTTTGGGATAACATAGATTTTACTTTGCAGAGTATTAAAGGTTTTTTGGAATCTTGGTGTTTATTGTACTTATATAAGCTTTCCAAAAGATACTTACGACAATAAGTATCCCCAGAAACTTGATTTTTTTAGCTTTTACAATGTTTAGATTATTAATATTTAGTCAGGAAAATATTGTTGGTATTTTTGTTTTTTTAGATTAAAACAACACGTGTTTGGTTTTTTATTTAGCGATAACTTAGTTAATTTAACCAGATATTCAACTTTTAAGCTTGTTGTTCATTTTTTGTAAAAAATAAATTTTTTATTCATTTTTGTTGAGCCAAAAGCGGCGGTGGCGCAATGGTTGGAACGCTTGCTTTAGCAGCAAAAGATCCCGGGTTCGGAGCGAACTCTGGGCATATAAGATAAAATGATAAGTATAATAGTTGTAGATTTATCAATAGATAAAACGTCTATAAACATATTTTTCTTAACGTTAGATTTTGTTGTTAAGATTATTTTGCTGGCAATTTTTCAAGTATCATAACAGTCCAAGACATTCTCATAAACATAAAATCTCCAAAGAGTATGCTATAATGTTATTATATGCTCTGCGTTAGAGTTATTTTATATTTTTGATTTCCAAATTTTTATTGGAATCCTGGTGTTTTTAAATCAATTCAAGTCTTTAGTTGAAAAAGCTTCAGGAACATAAGCTTGGTTCTCAATTCTTTTTACATACTCAATTTTTTCATTGTCAAGAAATGCTGTCACAGTTTTATTTATAATAAGATGATAACTGGTTCAATTTTTATGGCTGCCAGATAGAAATTAAACATCTCTCTATTTTTTTAAGTAAAGATGTTGATTTAATACCGCTTTAATGATGGCTTTAAAAATGGTTTGACTTTAACTCTGAAGTTAAATTTTACATTTTCTGAACAGGCTTCAATACCATCTTTAAAAAATCTATGGTTACAAGTAATTTTTTTTTCCAGATTTTCTACGTTCAGAAAACACTTTTTTACAATCCGTTGGTTGTGAGATCCGGGCAAATCGAAGAACAAAAGTGATTTGTTCCGTATGAGACACGTCCGGAGTTCCATCTACAATGATGGAAAAATAAACTGCTATGTGGACCTTTTCAATAATAGCAGCGAAAACAGTTTCTCCACATGCCATAATGAACTAATTTGAGTTCTCCAGCTCAAATAGTACGCTTGCATTCTTGTTCCTTGTTTTTGGTTTCGATAAACTTCTTCTAGATGGAACTGAAGTGTCTTACTGTGTTTTTCTAACCGCTCAAGGGTGGCTAAAAAATTATCATTATCATACATGTCCATCATGTTTGATGAATCTACACAAATATGAACATAATATTGAAATAAAGATTACATCTAGATTATTATTCCAAGCAACATTAAAACTATTTTATGAACATAAACTGCTAACACAGCTCGGAAACTTAGATTTCTCGCTAAATGGAGAGTGACGTTCAGGACGCAGCGTAAAATATCATACCACTTAGATGCCTTATTTTTTATTGACTTTTAAAGTTCTGAACTGATCCCGGTCTAGTTTTTTAAGGCTTCAAAGTATGATTTCGAAACGATGTAATGATTTCTGTGGTGAACATTACACTAGTGGTTTTTAGTATTTTTTCCTAGCTTTCGCCAATTATCTTTTATTCCGCCATTCCACATCAAGAGGAAAGACTGAAATCCAGGGCCAAAATTATACTTTTGTTCAAAAATAGATTAGGGAAAACAGACAAAAGCTTTTGCAGTTGCACTCGAGATAAGCCAGTCTCTGTTAACGTTCTCTCCCTTGAGAGAAGTTTTGTAAAGAATGCCTCTTCATCCTAAATTAAAAAAAGCATTGTTTTTTTATTTTTTCTTTATTGAATTGAATTTAGAATAATAAATATTTGAAACCTGTTTTAATAAATTGTAATAAGAGTTTTTTAGATTTTGTTTTAAATTTTTCCAAGGAGTAGTGCTTTTTATCATTATTAAAAATTTGTATGCCTAGGTAAAA